GGGCTTGGCTCCAAGGGCTAGTACTAATGATGATTGTGCAGTTAATGCCAACAGCAGTCGTCGTAAGAGCAACAGTAGAGGTAGTAGTAGTAGTAGTAGTAGTAGTAGTAGTAGTAGTAGTAGTAGTCAATAGTAGTAATCATAGAAATAACAGAAAAGTATTAGTAACACCTTAAGCCTTAAGCCTTAAGCCCCAAACCCTAAAAAGTCCTAACATTAATTAATCCCTGAACCCTTGCCCTTGCCTGGCAACAGCCAGCGCAGACGTGGATCGGCGGTCCTGTCCAGAAGCAGGGCTAAGACTTAGGGCCGTATAGGAGGTTTAGGCTTAGGCGGTGTAGGCATTAAATGTTGCGGGAGGTCACAGGGTGGCTTGAAGGCTTGAACAACTAGCTAGCAAACTAGGTCATATAGGTCCTATAGATAGCCTATAGGTCCATACTAAATACTATAGGTAGTCGTTCGTAGTAATAATATGATGCATAATATATAATATATGATATATTAAATGTATTATGTTATGTCATGTCATTGTCAGGATGTATTTATATTATACAATAGAATCGAACATATAATGATGGCTACACTGCTGCTATTGAGCGGCTATTGACTATTGAAATTGTGATACGAACTAAACTAACAACTAGCAACTACTAGAAAGCAAGTGTAAGTCTGAGCTATCACCTACCAGCAGTTATCAGGTGACTGCAAAAATCATAAAGGTAGCTGCTGAAATGTCTGGGTTTGGGGGAGTTTTGGTTCGAGTCTCATGACTGAAGTTGATAGTAAGGATAGTGACGACATGATCCAACACTCTGCGACTACGACGATTACACAGATAATGCCTACAGCACAAGCCAGTTATTAACTACAATTACACCACCAGCATGTCTCTAGTCACTAGTCACCAGCTCAAAAAGCATGCCAAAGTCACACACACAGACAAACCTTCGGGAAGCGCGCAACTTGTTTCCTGCTTCACTCGGAAGACTCGTCTGCGCGGTCTGGGTTTGTGCAGGAAGGCTGCATCAGCAGCTACGGCAACAAACCCGGCCGAAGGCCAAAGGCTGCGGGGCAAAGGCTGGGCTGAGCTATTATAAAGGATTACATGATACGGTTATACGATGCATAGCCGAAAGGCCTAAGGCCTAGTAAAGCCAATACCTAAGTCGCTGACGATACTAGGACACTCGGACCTAAGGCCTAAGGGCTCGAGGCTTAAGGCTGAAAACCTTAGGCCTTCGGAGATTCTCAAAATGCCCTCCCGATGCCCTTTAGCCATTGGCAAATTGTGTGGCCGTTGTCAGCCGCTACTTGCGCGGTGCATAGGCGTAGCCACGCTGGTCAGACCTAGGCGGGGCCAAAAGGGGACGGCCCCCCCAATACTTCTGAAGCCACAAAGCCAAGCCGGTGTTGGCGCGAAATGCGTGGTCCACAACGCCGGCGGAACGCCCACCACCCGGAGAGTTTATCATGCTCTCGACCATGGCCCAGGCCTGCTGGTCCGACCCGGCCGACGCATAAAGGCCCCAACACAACCTTTTGGTCAGCCACCACTGACCTCGGCTGGCTGCCACATGAAAGGGTGTCTGGCCATTGGTGGACCGGATGGAGTAGGACGCCGGCGTCAAGGCCCCCTGTAGTGCCCACAAACAGTGGCGGAACGGGTCTGTGTCACACCACTTATCACATATCACCATGAGCGCCGTCCAATGCGGTGGCTTTCCATCGGGCCTCGTGGTCACATCCGCCAAGTGGCGATTAATCTGGATCACGCGCTCGACGACGGCTGGAAGCCCCAATCTGCACGCATGGTGCAGCAGGGTCAAGCCGTTGTGGTCGGAGATAGTGAGGATATTGGCAGGCGAAACATCGTCCAGGAGCCTCAGGGTGTCCAGAGGCGCCGCACCCAGCAGCGTGCACATGACCTGGTTCGCAAAGGCCTGGGTCATAGCCTTCTCGCTCTCCCTGGCCAAAGCAGCCTGAGCCTGTAGTCGCTGCTCTTGCATCAAGATGACGAACCGCTGCAGGATTTCCCCGGACGCAGTTTCGGCCACATTCTTCATGATATCCTCCAAGTCATCCTCGACCATGATCGGTTCCTCTGCGGGCTCGCCCTCCTCCTCCTCATAGTCGTCAGGGTCGTAGTCCACCTCTTGCTCGAACGGGGCCGAGCCTCAGGGTTTGCAGAGTCGATCGCCACACTATGCGCTATGACGAACTACATATGATGATGACCATTATACTATAGAGCTATACTATAAGCTTATATCTTATACTTATACTGCTACGCCTTATCGCCTCAACCGTGATAATGAAACGAGCCCGAGCCCTAGAAACCTTATGCCTTATGCCATAATAATGGCCATAATGCCTTATCATAACATAACTAACCGTGACATAACCGTAACCTTCATCTACGAACCAGCCCTTACATTGCCTTACAGTTTACAGCCTGAAAGATAAGTCATAGGGCCATAGGGTCATAGGGTCACATACGGCCATAAGTCATACATAAGGATCCCGTCGCAAAAAAAAGTTAAACAAAGAACGATCCCGCCTTGGGCTCGATCCTCGTCTTCTACTTCCACCACCTCTTCTTCTTCTTCTTCTCCTTCTGGTTTTGGTTCTTCACGCTCCAATGAGCTCTGGCCTGAGCCCGTCCCACCATCACCCGCCCCGAGGGCATCTGGCGATCCAACGGGGTTGCCCATGAGCTTTGCATCCAAGTTGCGGAGCTCTTGCATGAGCATGCGAATCTTCTCGCGGCGAGTGGCGGGATCTTCAAGCTCATCGTTCACAAAAGCGAAGAGGTCTGAGTCGGATGCCATCTCATCAAGGTTCTGTAGTCTCACATAGCTCGTACTAGAACCATAGCCATCCTCTGAGCGGTGGTAGTCAGAGTCGGGGTTGTTTTCGCTGACCATTTCGAAGCTCTCAACGGCTGATGTGTCTTCACCAACTGCAACGAGGAACTTCTTTCGCCTCTTCGTCTCGGACGTCGTGGTGCCTTCCCCTGCGGAGCTCGCGCCAGACTCCAGGGGCTTGCCATCATCTTTAGTTGGACTGAAGCCGAGCTCCAAGCATCGACGCCTGAAGCCAATGGGTGTGAGCAGCTCGTTGGCATGATCGAGTGGCACAAACCCGGCTGGAAGAGCCACTGCCCTCACCCGCTCTGAGAGCCCAGCAAGCGCGTCGATGGGCCGTGTGCTCACCTGGCGGTACTTCGTGGGTGGTGCGCGCGACTCGAGGTCCACTATGTTGCGGGCTGAGTTCAGGAACACATGAATGTCATTCGGCCTGGCATCGCTAAGCATGCGAAGAAGCACCACGCTGCAAAGTGTTGCCGAGCGGTGTGCGCCATTGCGGCAATATATCAGCACACTGTGACCCGCCACAAGGGCCTCGACAATTTGGTCGACCACGGTCATGATCTTCTCGAAGGGGATGTCATTGTTCGCGAGCCCTGTGCCATCGACCACTGTCAACTGCTTGATGTCCATGCTCTGTGCGCTGCATGGCTTGCTGGCTGCCGGCGCCAAATACGTGATCTTGTTCTTGCGCAAAAGCTGCAGGTTAGACGCTGCAGCTTCGCCGCCCAGCCACAATTTCCCACCACAACCCGGCGAGAATGCCGCCATGTCGAAGACAAGGCTCATCGGGTGCCTGGCAGACACGACTGGTGGAGTTGCTTCGGTTTTAATCAAGTAGTTGGCTGAAGGGTTCAATTTGGGTCACATATCA